TTAAACGCGACTCGAGGTGGGTATTTTCATTGAGTATTTCCCAGCAGAATGAAATCATGATACCAACAGACGATGATACGGCGGTTCAAATATACACCAAGGAAGGAAATCTGAAGACAAGAATAAAAGTCCCAGAAGATCATAAGGTATGCAGCGTGGCATTTCACTACGAAATTTGTAAAATATTGGTTTTAACCAAGGTTGAGGAAAAGCTTTCCTGTTTCATTCTGTGCTACCCTGAAGCAGGCGAGGAGCTTGAGACTCTTACCTTCTTTTATAAATTTTGGAATGAGCGGGCTCCCAAACTGGTATCCCATCCCAAGGGTCCTGTTGTTGTTGTAAGAGACAGAAGCATCACTTACCTTTGATGAGATTTAGTATGAACAAACATTTCCTGCATAAAACACAGTAAATGCTTGTCTGAAATAGTGCAACTTTGAGTTAACTAAAGCAAACAATAGATACAGCATGGTTCATATAATTTGTGAGACTTTGCTGAATTACGTCGCATTAAAGTGTTCCTGTTTCTGTTGTAAGAGAGACAAGTGTAACTTATATTTAAATAATTTAAATAATTATGTTTTTTGACATTTGCAAACATGGACAAAAAGCTTTTAATAACATTTAAAAGAGTATGAATCCTATTTGCTATGATATAATATAATGAAAACTTTCTTTGCTCTTGTAATAAATGATCAGGTTCTTAACATAATAAACTTATGAAACCACCCCTGGCTAAGCTTAGAGCTATGAATCATATTATTAGTGGGTATATTGATGGCTTCTATCTGCAGGGTGATACATATGCTAAGTGTGCTACAAATGTTCTTGACGCAGTTGAAACATTTGACTGCCTAGATCTAGTTATCCATCCTGATAAGTCCACTCCTTCCCCTTCTCAAGAGGTAATTATCCTAGGATTTGTCATTAACTTGATAGCAATGACTATCCAAGTTACAAATGAGAAAAAAGGAAAAAATTAAAAAATTTTTTGTTTGATGTTATTGAATGTCCAGTGTTTCATATATTTATATATTTATTCCCTAAACTCAGTCCAACAAATTACAACCTTTTCACTTCAAGTCTCTGTTCCTCACGCCCACTTATCAATCACAACCATCCTAACAACTTATTAAATATTAACCCCATTATTAATAAAATCAACCTTATTACATAATGTAACATCCAGCAGACATTCCTATCCAGCAGGTAGCCAAGATTATTGGTTACCTAGTCTCCTCCTTACCTGGGGTTCAGTATGGGGCTCTTCATTATAGGAGGTACCTTGAAATGGATAAAAAAAGATGCTCCTAAAAGAGCTAAGGGTAATTTTGATTCCTCTATGACTGTCTCTGAGGATGGCTTGACAGAGTTACGATGGTGGGTCACCCATCTTGAAGAGAGTTTTAGATTTCTTTTCATTCCTCCTATTGATATAACTATATACTCTGATGCACTCCTAGAAAGATGGGGAGCTGTACTAGGTGATACATCTTCAGTGGGAAGATGGTCGCCAGATGAATGCACCCATGACATAAACTACATTGAACTTTCAGCTGCATTTTTTGCCCTTAAACTGTTCTGCACCGCTCTTAAGTGGTGTAAGCATGTAAAACTCATGATAGATAACACCACAGCAGTAGCTGTAATAAATAACATGGGTTCTTGTCATAGTCGTATTTGCCGCTCTATGGGCTGCGAAATCTTGGAATTTTGTATAAAATACAACATTTGGCTTACTGCTACTCACATTCCTGGTTCGCAGAATGCCTTAACACGCAAAGAATCTCGTCATTTTCATAATCCAGATAGCAAATGGAAACCAAACCATTGTCATTACATAATGCGCTCAGTACGTTGACTTTTCACACTTAGATCGATCTTTTTGCATCACACTTAAATATAAAACAGTTTCCAACATATTGCAGTCTTATCCGCCAGATCCTGGAGCAGTGTTCGTTGATGCTTTCTCTATTTCGTGAATTGACTTGAAACTTTATTGTTTCCCGCCGTTTAGTTTTCTGTTACAGGCTGTAAAGAAAATAATTCAGGAGCATGCCAAGGGAATTTTAGTTATTCCCGACTGTCCCACCCAGCCTTGGTATCCTTTGCTAGCCTCTCTTCATGTTCCACCTCCTGTGGTCCTACAACCCAGTCACAAACTACTGAACCTCGGTCGGAAATCATCGAAAACAACTCATCCCCTTTGCAAGAAGCTCAAACTTTTGGTTTGCCATTGTCTGCGGCAACAACTACAACAACTTGGCTACTCGTTAAGACCATTAACATAATTGAATCCTCTTGGAGAGACAGCACTAAATCTCAGTACCAAGTGCATCTGCAGAAATGGTTAAAATTTTGTATGAAGAGGCACTGTGATATCATCTCCCCTCCCTTACCACGGACGTTAGATTTTCTGTCATCGCTGTTTGACTCGGGTTTGTCCTATCGCTCAATCAACTCGGCGAGGTGTGCTTTATCTTCTATTTTGCAATTAAGTGATAGTGAAGTCACTTTCGGACAGCTACCTATTGTTTAGCACTTTATGAAAGGTGTATTCGAACTGCGCCCGGCTCTACCACGTTACCAGACAACATGGGATGTTAGCAAGGTCTTATAGTTTTTTCGAAAGCAGCCTATACCTTCCGCGCTGACTTTGAAGGAGCTTACTGTTAAAGTTTCCTTCTTATTGACCTTACTCATTGGATAACGCTGTCAAACTATTCATCTTCTCTCTGTCGATAACATGATTCTCGTTGCGGACAAGTGCACTTTCCACGTCATGGAGAAAGTCAAACAGACACGTGTCGGAACTCATGTGAAACTCCTCGAGTTATTGAAATATCCGTTTGAGCCTGCGTCGTTACTTATCTCTTAGAGTATATCTTTCAAGAGAGCTGATGAAAATAGCCATGATAGAAAGCAATTGCTACTGAGTTATGTGAAACCGTATTGATCTCTTTCCAAAGATACTATATCTCGATGGATAAAGTCTGTTTTGGTAGCTGTAGGTTTAGATGTTAGCAAATTTAAAGGTCATAGTGTTCGAGCAGCAACTACATCCTTTTTAGCGTCCAATAACTGTAACATTAAGGATATTATGTTATCCGCAGGATGGTCGAATGAACAGACATTTCAACGGTTTTATAATAAACCGAGCGAGAAGGAATTTAATTTTGGCGCTTCGGTGTTAGAGTGCTATACAAACGTTAATTGTTCCAAGGATATATAATATACATCTTTATACATCGAGATGTCTTTCCACTTGGTTTTATCACGCTGGCTATAGTTAGAGTGGTTTGTGTATCTCTGGAGGACAAAGACCTCACTGATTGCTCTGAAATCTCGTACAACGTCACATGACTTAGGCTGATGACGAAATAGAATTGAAAATTAAACGAGACTTACCTGGAAGTTAAAGTTTGATTTGGCCTGGAGTGTGAGAGTTTTACGCCCCCTGTTCTCTCCCATTCCCTTACTTGCAGTCCACTCTCACACTCATCACGTCCGTGCGGTCTTTGTGTGGTAAAGGTCTAAAGACTGATTGGTGCATGCGCTCCACTCTCTCTCGTACAACTCTCACACTCCCGGCTGATGACTCATACAATCCAAATCAAATTTCAACTTCCAGGTAAGTCTCGTTTAATTTTCAATTTTATCTCATGTGGGATAAGATTTAAATTCAATGCCAATGATTCTCCATTTGAATCAAATAAACAATGATTTTCGTTTCCAATAACAAAGATATGTTCCGCATCTCTTTCAAGTGAACTTTCCTTAAAAAAACACAACTGTTTGGAAATTCAAGTATCCATAAGTGGCGGGTTAATAGTTTATTGAGCGTGTCATTTCAATACATTATTTACAAACACCTCTCTGAAGCAACGTTTACAAGTCCAATTACCATCCAATTTTTGGCGCGATTTTCGTCTTTTGATTGATGTGAACGAGCGAATAGTTATGATGTATAGGTGTTCTTATCTGAACAACCATGACTAAATCTACTCGTTTACATCTATCAAAGGAAAAAGATGACAGCAAAATTGCAAATTTAAACGTGTCTTAATACATGCACCTCTTCAATACAGACATCTCTCTGATATGAACATATTTTCAACTGCACAATTCGTCAAGTCAGGAATGGTTAAGATTCATCCTCTGCTAATGATGTGAATTATTGCAAGTGCGTGTGAAGAGATAAACTATTATGATATCAACAGCTCGTGTAACTCAGGTATATTTACTGCAACTGTTTATTCATTCATTTGGTCGATTATTCTCGTGAGAGCTAACTCAACTGATGATGTATGACTTTCATTCCTTCATGCAGACATCTCTCTAATTACAGACATCTCTCTATAAGACTCTCTCTATACACATCTCTCTAATACAAACATCTCTCTAATACAAAATCTCTCTATACAGACATCTCTGTAATAAAGACATCTCTCTAATACAGACACCTCTCTAATACAGACACCTCTCTAATACAGACACCTCTCTAATACAGACATCTCTCTAATACAGACATCTTTCTAATACAAACATCTCTCTAATACAGACACCTCTCTAATTCAGACATCTCTCTAATACAGATACCTCTGTAATACAGACATCTCTGATCTCTCTAATACCAAAATTTCTCTCTAATACAGACATCTCTCTAATGCTGGCACCTCTATAATACAGGCATCTAATTCCAAACTAACAACAATGATTCAGCGGAGTATAAAGACGAGCCAAAATTTAGGCCTAAATATAATGCATCACGTTAGGCATCGTAAGTGTTCGATGACGTCACATTTACAACAACCTGAGCCCACGACATACAATAAGCAGTATCTTTCATTCAAAGCATCGATACCATTTAGCGCATTCGCCATTACACGTTTTCTGTATAAAATGTCAAGTTGGTAAGAAGTGAATATTTTGGGGGTTTTCTTTGCTTTTTGTTCGTCGTTAAACGTTTGTTTCGTCTTTACACAAAGCAAAATTCGACCATGAGCGACTCCGGTGAAGATTGGGATTTGGAGATTAACTCCGGCGTTTCCAAACCCATGAAATGGAATGACCACAGTTCTGAATCTAGTACAAACTCTCACAATTCAGGATTTTCAGCTCCTGAGAAACGGTTCGGTCGCGGACGATCTGCGCGTGCTACAAACAGTTGGGGATCAAACGATGGCTCAGGTAATTGGAGGGGTAATTCGGATTTCGATAACGCTTTGCCCAGGAGGCCTAGGCGGGGGTTTGATTCATCGTCCCCCGCCAGAGAAGAGCGCCCACCGCTCTCCAGAGGGTTCGGGTCCCGAGATCGTAATGGTGGGGTGTTTGGTGGCAGTCAGGATGATGGCGATTCGTTGAGGATCGAGGTTTCTAGTCGGGATGTTGGCAAGATTATTGGTAAGCCATGGCGTACCGTATAACATATCAATTCAGTTAAGCCTGGTTTCCATTTAGTCGTAATGGTCGTGAACATGTCATTTTCGCCGATGAGAAATTGTCGAGATGTAAATTCGTTTTCATTCCTGTACTCAAATCTGTCATTGTTGACTGCACACATATAGAAATATTCTATCACATCAGCCACCTTGACATGTTCACGACACTCATGACTAAATGGAAACCAGGCATTAGTTTGGGTGTAGATTTAAATATTGTACCATATTGGTCTTTAATAACCAGCCTGTATCGTGAGAAACTTTGATGAAAATATGTTTTAAATATTGGATTTATCTATATAAGGATATAGGTCAATGCAGTGATATGGATGCTAGTTATGATTTTGCATACTTTGACTAAATTTTTTAACTCCAAGATAGCTCAAGATTTCTACAAATGTTCTGATATTTGATTCCAATAATCAAGCAATTGTCTGAAATTGTCAAACTTCTGATAAAGATCTAAATACCTTGAGAACTTATTGATGTAATATCCTCTCATTTGACCTTTAAATATTTAGCCATTCGACCTATTTAGAAAATTGTTTCTCTTAGCTTGCCTTGTACCATATGTTTCTATGCTCCTTTGCTTCCCATAGACCCCTGGGCAGTGGGAGAGTACATGCAGGCACTTACTCTGTACTCACTGTTGTACAATGCTATAGGGAGAGGTGGCCAGAGCATTAAGAATATTCAGAATTCATCTGGAGCATGGATTAAGGTCAGTCTGAAGAAATGACTCCTTTCTTGTAAAGATTGTAGTCCTAGGTTCAGGGAAAGTTTGTAATCAACCAAGTGCATGCTTAACTTGTGTTGAAGGCCTGAAACTTACTCTCTTCTATTTCAAGATATTGAAAGATGAAGCTGATGCCGTCCACACACCAATCGAGATCTCAGGGAGTAGAGACTTTCAGGCAAAGGCCAAAGAGATGATTGATGAAATAATATTTCCACAAGATTTAGTGACAAATAAAATGGAAGGTAGTTTATATATCTCTCTAATACAAACATCTCTCTAATACAGACATCTCTCTAATACAGACATCTCTCTAATACAGACATCTCTCTAATACAGACATCTCTCTAATACAGACATCTCTCTAATACAGACATCTCTCTAATACAGACATCTCTCTAATACAGACATCTCTCTAATACAGACATCTCTCTAATACAAACATCTCTCTAATACAGACATCTCTCTAATACAGACATCTCTCTAATACAGACATCTCTCTAATACAGACATCTCTCTAATACAGACATCTCTCTAATACAGACACCTCTCTAATACAGACATCTCTCTAATACAGACATCTCTCTAATACAGACATCTCTCTAATACAGACACCTCTCTAATACAGACATCTCTCTAATACAGACATCTCTCTAATACAGACATCTCTCTAATACAGACATCTCTCTAATACAGACATCTCTCTAATACAGACACCTCTCTAATACAGACATCTCTCTAATACAGACATCTCTCTAATACAGACATCTCTCTAATACAGACATCTCTCTAATACAGACATCTCTCTAATACAGACATCTCTCTAATACAGACATCTCTCTAATACAGACATCTCTCTAATACAGACACCTCTCTAATACAGACACCTCTCTAATACAGACATCTCTCTAATACAGACATCTCTCTAATACAGACATCTCTCTAATACAGACATCTCTCTAATACAGACATCTCTCTAATACAGACATCTCTCTAATACAGACATCTCTCTAATACAGACATCTCTCTAATACAGACATCTCTCTAATACAGACATCTCTCTAATACAGACATCTCTCTAATACAGACACCTCTCTAATACAGACATCTCCCTAATACAGACATCTCTCTAATACAAACATCTCTCTAATACAGACATCTCTCCAATACAGACATCTCTCTAATACAGACATCTCTCTAATACAAACATCTCTCTAATGTCTATCTTCTTAATAGAGGTTTTTTGCATATTTACAGAAACAAGTCTGAAAGCAGGTGAAACCCCTTTGGTTCCCAGAATTGATTGGGCTGAGCTACGCGCAAACAGGGTGGCAAATCAAGCAAAGAAATGGGAAGGTATTGTAGCTGCTTGCTGTATAGAAGTAAAACAGATTGTAAGCCACATATTCTTTAGATATACCTTCTTGCTTATACCTTTTTAATGACTTTTAAAGTTTTTATTTAAGGTTTACCTGTCATCAAAAAAGTATTTTATAAAGAGAGTGAATCAGTCAGGAGAAGGTCCAAAGAGGAAGTGGAAATCTTTAGGTACCAGTATACAGTTATTTATGGACTGGGGTTCCCAAGGTTGGGGGGAAGGACAATGGCTCTTTGGCTTCCGCTTTGCCGGCCCACAAAATGCTACAGGAATAGAGTTACATTACTGTTGGAAATCCATTATCCTCTTTCCAAATGAAAAGAAAATGAGTTTGGGGGTTTTATAAATAGCGTAATGCAATATATTATAATGCAGTATATTATATTCCCTATATGAAAATCAAACCTGTTCTCTAAGTTTCAAAAATTTCTTGGGGAGTATCTCCTTAAACCCCCTTACCACCCCCCAAGTCGCATGAACTACCATTTTTTGTGACTTTTTGCTGTGGAATTGGGACCCCTAAAGAGAAATTTGCCCCACGGTCCAAAATTTTTGTGCAACCATAGTAATCTAGAAGTTTGTGAGTCCAGTTTTATGCATTGCAGTCAGTGACGCACGCTCGCATCTTTAGTCATTGAACTGTAAACAAACAGTTGTATATAGAGTTCACTGTCTTTAGTGTGTCACTGACCGCAATGTGTGAAACTGGACAAACATACTTTGAGACTGCCATTTTGCTTTATGGACAAGTTTTTTTAGGTTTTTAACGCTGTGTTTGGAAACGTGTTTTATAGGAAAGAAAACAACAATATCTCTGTACAAAATGTCGGTGATGACGTTCAGAACCGAGACATTCCGAAGCCGGTCACGACATTTGACGAGGCGTTTAAAAATTATCGTGAGTAAACATGTTAGTAAAAACAGTATTTAATATTTTCCTCAACTTCAATTTTTGAGTTACGGCCCTGCTACACGGCGCAATTGTTTATTCAACTTGCAATACAATCCTACTTTTGAGAGATGTGAATTTGCAACTACGAAACTTACCCTCACTAATTTACATCTCTTAAAAGTTTTTCAAAAGCTACTTAACCCAATAACGCACGTTTTGTTCATGTTTTCAGCCGTTATACTCAATGAACTGAAACGTGTTGGATTTGTTAAACCAACTCCGATTCAGGTTTGTAGCGGATTCAGATTAACGTCAGATTAACGGGATAACCATAGGTAACCCAAATTTGCGTGATAATTTGAACGCGAGAAATGTTTCACGAATTTTGTTAACATAAAGTGTAATAATATGATAACCTTAGTATTTTGATATTTATACACTATTTTGACAAAATATTATTACACTATTTTAATAAAATTGCCGAAAAATTTTGCCAACAAAGCCATGAAAACACAAGGTTGATTTGTGAATTTGTCGAATGTTTTCTCGCGTACAAAATCATTCATAATTTGTTTTGAATTTTCATCACCGGAATTGTGAATGATTTATCAGATTTTTTATATCATTTTAGTGTCAGTCATGGTCAGTTTTGCTGTCAGGCTTAAACCTCATTGGCATCGCTCAGGTACACAAAAATTTTCAGTGTTGCCGCCATTTTGTGATGAAAGTTTGTTGTCGTCGATTTAAGAAAGATTCAGTCTCTCAACATCTTTTTAGACCGGCACTGGCAAAACTCTGGCGTTTTTATTGCCAGCGTTGATTCACATCGCTGGGCAAGAAAGGTATGAGAAGTATTCATTGCTGAATTTTTGAGTAATTGAGGCTCGTTTCAGACGTCGAACTTTTCATTTGCCAAATCGTTCGTGAATGAACTTAAGCAAAGACTTTAGTCCATTAATTCAGGATAAACTTGTATCGGTCACGGTGTAAGGTTGAGAATTGAACGTGGCGGACCATCTAGCCAATCAGAACACTGAGTTGCAAAATTGGCGGCAAATTTTGTTTTGTATGAAATGTATGTAGATCAGTGACCTTGTAGCCAATCAGAACACTGGATCTGGGGTACAAAAATGGCGGCAAGATTTTTTTTATGGAATGTATGTAGATCAGTGACCTTGTGGCCAATCAGAACACTAACTCTGAGGTCCAAAAATGGCGGCAAGTTTTGTTTTGTTTGAAATTTATCAATCTCATCTAAAAACTGTTTTTTCTACCAGAACCCCAGCCACACCTGATGGTCCAAATGTTCTGGTTTTATCACCAACAAGAGAACTCGCTCTTCAGATTGAAGCTGAAGTAAATAAACTTCATTATAAAGGGATACGAAGGTACAGTTAAAATACTATATCACGGTTGCCGAGTGATATAAAATGGCGGGAAAGGACTGGGACAAGTTATCATATAAAAATCCATTTCTCGGATGAAACGACTCGATATCTATGATTGGTTAAAATACAAGCGTGAGATCACGTGGTTATTTAAAACAATTTTTAATAATGACCAGACTTTAAACAAGAACTTTGATTTCTCTGGGCGAAGCTCTTCAATATTTCGAGAAGTTTCCTTGTCTGTTTCAGGCAGTTCCTAAAACTCATTTGATAAAATTAAAATTGTTAAAGATTAGTAGCTATAACTTGTGGCTAACGGTCGACATAAGCATATGAAAAATAGGTCTTCAACGTGGGTGAACCTCAAAAAAGCGATTGACAGTATTAGCGTATGCTAGACAATATGTGTTATATATTTGATTTCATAGTTGAAAACTCAACCGATGATGTACAACTCTTTCATTCCTTGTAGATAATTGTCATTTTACGCGTGGTAAATATTGTCATTGGGTCCGTGATAAAAACCAGCGCTGCTATTGACAAACAAAGAGAAGATTGAGACAATCCAGGAACACTGGGCCCAGTCGAGACCACACTACAGACTCGGGTATGAAATAAGAGTGATCTCATGACCACCATCATTATTATGAATAGTCGTTACCTCATTACTCTACATCGCTTCCATCTATGTCCATGATTATCAATTGTTATCCATCGATGCACAAAATCATCATCTTCATTAATACGTAACGATCCATCGTTATCCATGAAAATGTGCCAGATCTGGTCACACCGACTTCAATATTTACAGGTGCCACAGTTTCTTCCCTCAACGACGACCAACGCAAATCCGTAACACTGGAAGCAATCAAGACCACACAACTTGCACTGGTAAGAAATAGGAGTGATTCATCATCACCATTTCTCATCATCACCACCGTGCAATAACACGGGGTATCCTTACCCCATCTATCTATATCGTTGTCCATTATTGTCCATCGGCATCCACAATCGTCTATTGTTATCCACCAAGCGCATAATTATCGTCGTTTACCTTATTTACACAGTATACGATATAAATAATTCATTTTTTCCCAAGAAGCAAACGTCTTGCAATTGCGTGGTAATAAGCTTTGACAAATCTTATTGTTATGCGAGTTGCAGGCGGAAGGGAAGGAGTCGGGCAGGTGCGGGTTATCAGCTTGTTGCGCAAACTTTCCTGTTAAACTTCAATTGTGCTTTAGTTACCGTGAATGAAACCTATTTCTATCAGTCTTTCTCATTAAATCTAAATTACATTTAAACTACTAGATCATATTCTGCTATTATTCATTCACGGACATGCGCAACAAGCTCTCCTAGCACATTTATTTATGCTTTTTCTTTCTTGATTTATCGCCCAGGTTTGATTTTAGAAATGATTGCAGTGATTTCTATCGTATTTCTTCAATCTTTAGTTTTGTGTGACAGTTCAGCGATAAATAAAGACTATCGTACAGCGTTAAGACGCATATAACCGATCATACTTTCTGCCCTCCCATGTGCATTTTAAGAGTTTAAATTGACCTACGTGAGGTTAAACAAAGAAAATTCAGAGAGAAAAAATGCGTACTGGCGAGAGAAGCGATTTCGGTTTGTTAGTCCGATTTTCTCGCAAGATTTTTTCACAAATACTGTTGTTGGTGTCGTGACTATTTTATGAATTCGGTAATGTAAGGTCAAGTATCTATATATTGTTAACTTTTATATTCCTAATTTATATACTTTTGTAAATACCTATAGTCCTAACTTAGTTCTGTTGAAACTGTGTTTTGTTCAACTACGAACACGCAATGATTTCATCTCGCTCGTGTCTATAACTTTTCTTATAAAACTTGGTTCGTGAAGTGACATAAGACTAAAGTGAAATACAGCTGGGTTATTTATTTACGAGATCGCTCCCAGATATATTGTAGACGATGTAAACAAGGTAATTCTATACTGTAAACTTGAACAACCTTCATATCTCGCCTGTTTCTCATGTAATGAAGTTTCCGGAAGAACGTAGATAAAAACATCAATAGGAATCATATGATTAAATGTGTTTGAGCATATTCACCAGTGTTTAGTCAAAATTTAGCCTTAATTTTTCGCTTCAGTAAAAAAACTCGGTATGTCTTCAATTGTGACAAGTATTCTCAGTTCAACAGTTGGTTTATTATGGAATAAGGTCAGAGACTCGACGGCAGACAAATTCAAAGACGGCGATGTAACCGATGCAGAAATTCGTAAGATTGTCGTACGAGAGTTAAATGATATCAAGTCTAAAATTGATGGCCTTTCCCGATCAACTTTACTCGCCAGTTACGATTTTCTTGAAGAAGGAGTTGTGTTACTCAGTGATTCTCTTGATAAATCAAATCCCGAGCAGAAAGCGAGCGAAACTCAGGACGAACCGGGTGAACCTTCGAGCGTTATTCAGTCTGGTATCTTAAACCAAGCAATAGAGCTTCCTCGCGCCATGGAAAAGCTTCAAATCAACTCGGACAAAGAGTTTAAAACTGCGAAAAAAAGATTCGAGAAAGCGCGCGAGACAGCAACCACTGCTTTCAGGAATGAGGCATTTAGTATCGAAGATCGAATTTTTGCTGCGAAGCTACGAATAGTTTCAGAAATACTGGAACATCTCGATAGTCCTGAGACCGCAATCAAAGGGTGTTTGTTGTTTTTGAAGAAGCTTCATAGCTTACCAGCCATTCAAGAGATATTCTCGGTGTATTTGAACGGTGGAGTCAAATCGTTGTTGAATAAAACCCAACGAGTGGAGAACGTCAAGTCGGTTATGTTAATCAACTATGTGTTGTTTCAATATGTTTGGAAATTCAGCAGCAAGTATTCGTTTGAAGTGCCCGCCTGCATGCCAACGATTGAACTTCCTGATCGTAGTTTTCACCCAATAATCAATTGGTTCGAAATTTCTACAAGAAAGTCTATGGGAAAGGAATTGCCTCATCCTTCCTACGAACAGTTCCTTGATGAAAAAATAACATCCTTCTTATCTGCTGTGAACAGTCAGGGGGATGTTCTTACTATCTCTAATACTAGGTTTCGTGACGACATCATGATTATCCATGAGGCAGGAAAAATCAAACGGGTTAAAATACCTGAATTTGCAGGTTATATTTTACTGGCGCTTGCTGTTGATATGAATAACAATGTTTACGTGGTGAGAGGACGTTCAGATGAAGACGAAGGATTCATGTTGACGATATTGGACGAGAATTACAATGTAAAAGCAAATCATACATTGGATTTTCTCGAGGACAAAAATTTTAATCTAGTTATTATCGCCATATGCAAAGACGATGATATTATCATCATCAAACACGAAGACCCTCATGTGTATGTTTGTGACAAGACGTGTCAATTGAAACACAAGTTTAAACGTGACTCGAGGTTCGCATTTTCATTGAGTATTTCCCAGCAGAATGAAATCATGATACCAACAGACCGTCATACGGCGGTTCAAATATACACCAAGGAAGGAAATCTGAAGACAACAATAAAAGTCCCAGAAGATCATAAGGTATTCAGCGTCGCATTTCACTACGAAATTTGTAAAATATTGGTTTTAACCAGGGTTAGAGGAAAGCATTCCTGTTTCATTCTGTGGTACCCTGAAGCAGGCGGGGAGCTGGAGACTCTTACCTTCTGTTGTGAAGATGACGATGAGTTTCATCCGTATCTTGTATCCCATCCCAAGGGCCCGCTTCTTGTTGTAAGAGACAGAAGCATCATTTACCTTTAATGAGATTTAGTATGAACAAACATTTCCTGCATAAAACACAGTAAATACTTGTCTGAAATAGTGCAACTTTGAGTTATTAACTAAAGCAAACAATAGATGCAGCATGGTTTATATAATTTGTGAGACTTTGCTGAATTACGTCCCATTAAAGTGTTCGTGTTTCTGTTGTAAGAGAGACAAGTGTAACTTATACTTAAATAATTTAAATAATAATATTTTTTGACATTTGTGAACATGGACAATAAGCTTTTAATGATATTTAAAAGTGTATGAATGCTATTTCCTATGATATAATATAGTGAAAACTTTCTTTGCTCTTGTAATAAATGATCAGGTTCTTAACATAATAAACTTATGAAACCACCCCTGGTTAAGCTTAGAGCTATGAATCATATTATTAGTGGGTATATTGATGGCTTCTATCTACAGGGTGATACATATGCTAAGTGTGCTACAAATGCTCTTGACACAGTTGAAACATTTGACTGCCTAGATCTAGTTATCCAACCT